GCGTGGAGGCCGCATGTTGTAAAGTCCAGGTGTTTGCGCTCTACATGTGACCGACATGTGCGAGATTCGAGCCATCAGCGTTTTTCCGAAATGAGAATCGCCCTTTACATTAGCAGTATCAGATAAAGACCTGTTGAGCAGAACACTACTTGCTCGAAATCTCGAGGTCATTTGAGGAGGACTGATTACCTAAAGAAAGATGCGCAGTTCTATCCAGTGTTCTTCTATTCATCATATCCATCGATCTGACGTATCGCGTCACAATGTAGAACAGAGGGTACCGGGTGTCAGTGAAGCGCTTCTGAACACGCTCAGCAGTGGATTATGGTACCACTTCGGATTTGATTGCCGAGGAACATGTTGAACACTCTGCAGGAAGAGCGAGAATATTGGCATTGCTCAACACATTGGTAGGCCTATATGAAGACGACTCAGAAGGCAAAGAATCGTGCAAACATTGATTGTGTTGATGCAGCATCAACAAACACTGACTCTTTCACCTAGTTTGGGCCTTCTTCGACCTTGAGGAAGTTTGCCGAAAAGGCCTCGATAAGGCCTTGATAAGACCGAGGTCGCAAGTGCCAAGAAGTTGTGCGCTTCACAATGCCACACATGGACAAAATCTTGCTCTGCTCTTTCCGAATAAGAGCACGTAGACACGAACTTGAGCTCGAAGCAACGCATGTGGATCCCTACGCAGGATTCGACGTATTTCTCGAATTCTACCTTGCCGCAACATTAGATCCAGAAGACCTGACCTTCGACAATATAGTCACCGCCACTCTTTCACAGTCATTCCCTTTTTTAAAACTAGCATTCATAGCTCTTAACTGCTTCTTCGTCTCTTTGCCTTGTCTCAACTCCAGTCAACCTCCAGTGATTGAGCCGATGAGCCGGAATTCTATTGATACACAGCCGCAGTGCTAACTCTATCAACACGTGGTAGCCATTCCTAGAATTAGGCGCCCTAGAGCTTACCTCGATGATGGATGTCATACTCTTCTACATCCGTATGGAACCTCTTTCGCACGGCTGTCTCGCGAAATGAAAGAAGCTTAACTCGTGCATGACAGTTAACACCAATGTGATTTTTGGGCAGTCGGATCCTCTCTTGCCCTCGTCTTTCGTGCGCTTTCCCCTCTTCAAGTGACTCGGCCTCATGTTAGCAACTTTGTGCTATATAAGATATGTCCCTAGCATCTTGACACCTCATCCGATTCAAACATGTTTCGTCGTTACTCGCGTCGTAACAGTGGTGATAATGGCGCTCGTGCCCGTAAATCGTCTGATTCTTCATCTGTTGATCTTACCTCGTCAACATACGCAAGAAAATGCAGAAAACTGATGAAGCTGCACCGAGATCTCAGCAATCTCTGGTAAAGTTGTATCATGGATTTGTGCGTAGCTGAAATTGTTGCTAGCGATGGGATCCCTCTCAATATGCCTCGACTAGCAGTCATCGGCAGCCAGTCGGGTATGTGACGTCTCTGATGAAATGTTTCGCTCTGACATAGTCCTTCAGCCGGTAAAAGCTCTCTTGTTGAGGCTGTCAGCGGAGTAAGTAGTACTGCCTAGCCAGATACCCATTTCCTCTTTCCGAGCCTCGTTTCCAGATTTGTGTTCCCAGGGATAGCGGAACCTGTACGAGGTGAGTATCATTCCCAGCGGCGATGTGTATCATGCTTCTAATCGACCTCAGGTGTCCGATGGAGTGTTCCATGTCCACTACGGAAGGCCCATGGTCATGCAACATTTCTCTTCGTATCTCCTATGCTTCCGACGGAGAATCCGTCGTCACTGCAAAGAGCACTCAATTCGGACCCACTATTACTGACAAGAAAGATGTTGAGATTTGGATCCGACGTGCCCAGGCTGCGCTCCTAAATCCTCTCCTATCACACAGTGATTTTTTTGACAAGACAGAGAAAGAGTTGAAGAAGCGTTCTAATGCACTTCAATTCTCCAAGAACGTCGTTTGTGTCCATATCAGCGATCCAGATCTCACCGATCTATCCTTCATAGATCTGCCGGGTACGTTCTATCACTTACTTTTGGATACCATTTTGATCTTCAGTAATGATAGGCCTTATTCAGAATTCCAACGATGAGGATATCACGTTAATTAGGAACCTTGTCGTGAATGCTGTATCAGGCTCTAACACACTCATTCTCGTGACAATCCCGATGAGTGGTGAGTTCGTCGAACATTGTGAATACTTGACTTGACTTTGACTGATATCTTGCAGACGACATGCAAAACCAGGCCGCATTTCGCCTCGCAAAAGACGCCGATCCTGCAGGAGAGCGTACAATCGGTGAGTATGTCCTGTTCTATCAGTACCATGTCTTCCTTTTCCAACTTGAACTTTAGGTGTCCTTACGAAGCCCGATACTCTCTCTGCCGGTGCAACTGGCCACCTTCAAAATTGGAAGGACACTCTCGAAGGCAAACTCTATCCTTTGAAGCATGGGTATTACTGTGTCCGCCTCCCGAACGACGCGGAACGCAATCGTAACAGGTCTCATGTGGACTTTCAGAAGTTGGAATCTCGGTTTTTTGAATCCACTTCACCTTGGAATACGATTGCTGACCGGGCTCGCTTTGGTGTCCCGAGCTTCGTTGCCAACATAAGCGGACTTCTCGTCCAACTCATCGAGAAGAAGTATGTTCTAGTCAAACTCTTCCGAGCATCTGACAGATCTCAGTCTAGTCTCCCAGAATTACGTGCAAAGGTAGCACAGCTCTTGTCCGAATGCAAGGAAGAACTCGCAACTCTTCCGGCTCTCAGCACGAGCGATCCATTTACAGAAGTATGTCTGCGAATTACACAGTTCTGTCAAGACTTCCAGTCGGCGGTATTTGGAGAGCAACAGAAGAGCATGGTTCGAACCAATCGAAATAGATACAACGACTTCAAGAGGGATATTGAGCGCACTAGGCCGAACTTTCTACCAGATCGGGTTCGGCACTATGGTTCAATCGATCGTGAAGCCGAGCGTGTTCCAGCTATTGGGCCTGTTATAGATGTGCAGCAGGTCAAACAAGCCATTTCATCGTGTGTTAAGGTTCCGCCACCGTTGGACCTGAGCTAACATCATTAACACAGATCCATTGGTTGGGAGCTCCCGACACACGTACCCTACGATGCTACGAAGAATTACATTCTTACGTTCACGAGCCTTTGGAACCAGCCCGCAATCGCTTGTTTCCATGATGTATTCGCCAATACCTCCGAGTTCATCAGGAAGGTCATGGGCGAACACTTTGGCCAGTTCAAGAACCTGGAGAAACATGTCGCGTTCGTTATTGTTGGTAATTTCCATCAATGTTGCTGATTCACGTATCTACAGCTCCGTAGTTCAGGTAGATCTACAGAGATTCAAAAAAGAAACTCTGGAAAGGTTAGCTGAGATGATCGAACTCGAGGATGTTTCGGCATGGACGCAGAACGAAGAGCTCTTTCGTTCCGAGAAAGATTTCTGGTTAAGAGTTTATTACAATGCGGCGAAGTCTTCGTATATTATTACTCCGAGTCAGCAGCTGCATGACGTGAATAGAAACGACGGCGACTTCGATGTGCTCAATGTGATGGCGATGGTTCGCGCCTACTTTCAGGTTGCGCACAAGGTGAGCCCTTACTAGTGCTCTTGACATCCGAAGTCTGATGCCTTGGGTAGCGAGTGATCGATTATGTTCCTCTGACTATCGAGCATGCGCTTAATCAGGCCTTTACCAAGAACTTGCGAAAGAGTCTTTTTGAAAGTTTGCAACTGGATCCTAGTGACGAAGCCGATTATGACTGGTTTGCGGATCTTCTTATCGAAGACCCACTCTTGGCTAAGAAGCGGACGTTTCTTGAGGATAGAAAGGATCGCCTCGAGCTGATCAAGAAAAGACTTGATACATTCGAGCGCGGTACTGAGGATTGATTAGGGCTTGTGATCCATTCTTCGTTTGTATTGTAATTGTGACAATCACCAGCATCCTTCGAGATCACCCACTTCGCATTTAACCAACAGCTGACACACAATGTCAGCCAAAAGTTCGAACGGTTGGCTAGCGGGGGCTTAGTTAGTATTTAAGAAGCTCGGTTATTGAAACTCTCAAGTGTCCTCGCACCGGACACAATTCCAGCATAGGTAGTCATGACTCCAACGTCGCTTCAATGCTTTGCATCCTCCTTAAGCTTGTGTGCATTGTCAAGGTAGAGGGTTAAAAGCACAGGCTCTCCTTAACCACTGGATATTGCGTGGAAATACCAACTAGACACGTTCATTGGCAGTTTTGGGTCGAGAAAACCCGCGCCAATGCCAAAAAAAAAGGCCTCCAAGAAGCAAGCCCACAAAAAGAGTAAGAAACAACAAGAAAATGATGTCAATGATGGACAAACTTTGTTAAGAAGCTCAGAATCATTGTTCAATGGCATTGCTTCAACAAAGGGAAGGAGAAAGGAAAAGAGTGTGTCAATGGACAGACTGGCAGCCACAACAGAAGTGCAAATTCATCATTCAATGGACATGCATATATAAGATCACTATTGAACAGATGTACATGTGCAACATCACCATTCAAAGAATATATATGTACAAAGCTCAACAACCACAAAGGACTTGTCATCCATCAAGAATCAAAAATTTGCACATTGCAAAATCTGTCAGCTCTCTGACCAAGACACGACAAGGTTGACATCATTTTTGAGGCCGCAGCTGATGATCTTAACACATGTGGTCTCACAGTTGGTGAGGCTTTGTTGTTTCAACCATTTGTTGCGTGATGGAATGCAGAGAACCTTGATACTTCTTCACATTGTATTTGTATAGTAAAGAATGTGACAATTTGGATTCTTGAAAAAAGATTGAAACTGTCATGTATCACCAAGTCATTTTTAGATCCAAGAAAAGGATTCTAAAGTAAAAATCATCGCGCTCCACAAGTTATTTTGATCCTTGGAAAAGAATTGTAAAGTGACCAAGGTCCAGAAAAAAAAGCTACACCTGATTGCCACGTACCCGATTTGAACGAATAACCTTTGCATTGTTATCTTTGTTAATACAAGTGCAACGCGCTACCATTGCGCCAACGCGGCACATACTATTGAGCAACAATTGTATCCGGAGATCCCATGCAATTTGATTGTCAGAAGTACCAAGTCTTTTGAGCAACACACCAGTAAGCAGCGTAGTTCCACTATGCTAGGAGCAATGCGAAAGTCACTCATTTTGGAATCAATGCGAAGGTCACTCATTCAATCCGAGTACGTGGCATGCCTTTTTAAGTGGCGCAGATTTCGTTCTCGTTCTTGTAATGTTCCTCGCTCGAATTCAAGAGCAACATATTAATTGTTCTTTCTCACACTATCATGTCCTCTAGATCCTTGTATAGAACCAGAGTGTGGCTGCACCTCCTTCCTTCCTGATCCTACTGACCATGCTTGCGGACATAGCCAAGGCTCACATCAGAGCCTTGCAGCACAACAGTGCTCTGCCAACCCCTCCCGACTTCTTTCAGTGTATGACAGTTTATTTTTCCAGCAGTGTCTTTTTGTATTCTCACTTGGATCTTCTGAACTGGCACCAACGTGCCCTGCAGCACTTGCATTCACTGTGGAGATGTGTACTGGAACCACATAATACCATCAGCATACATACTCCACAAACAAGATACAAATCAATCTCACCAGATCCATGTCAATGCCTTTGATGCAATACTCAAACTGGAACCATGCATTGAGAAGGTTTTGAAGAAATTGGCTATAATGATGAGAGGAGAGGACTACCACAAGAGTCTTTTATGTGATTTTATTGAAGTTGTGCACACTGGTTTATTTCTTTTGCTACTATCAATACTAACACTTTTTAGTCTGTCAAAGGAGCTACCAGCACACATACAGGGGACACCTGAAAGGTGAAGGATGACCTCCCTTGGCTCTTGCAAGACTCTGCACTTCCATATCTTGGCTTGGCTTCCTCTTAATTTCCTTGCAATAAATCAGCACATGGTTTGAGAACAATGATACTGGCCCCCTACTTTGCCCAGCTCAACAGGCATACAAGTACACCAACAGGTAAGTGCTTCTATTGTGACAATCATTAATTGGTTTTCTTCAGTTACCACTACCAACTATATGATGGAGAAGTTGAAGTAAAAGCTCACAATTTTCCTCTCTTCCTCTACAACAACACAAGGTGCTTCAAGATCAATACACATGGACTGCCTGACAATACCACAGCCAATGTCAGTGAGGATGACCAGATTCTGCTTGGACTTTGTTGAGGGCCTCTCCTCATTAATATGAGTGACCATTTCTTATTATTCACTTTGCTAATAATTTTAAGGCTTGTTGTCACATGCTCTTTAGTTCTGGCATTGAGCACACTGAAAAACATGCAATGAAAAGGCTGATCACATCAAAATTCAACATAACAGCTATTACACCCAAAATAATTGCATATATGGCATGTCAAGTGAGTCATATAATGACTATGTTTGACTAGGGCTTATCTCAGGCATTAGCTTTGATTTGCATTGAGTTTGGTGTCTCAGTGGAACATGCAGGATGGTTTGTTTTCCCTTGCAGATTTTCATTATAATGTGATGTCACTGTTTGATCCCTTGAGTATATGGACAAAAAGCACTCTTGCATACTGGGATGGGTACATGTTTATCTCACATGACAACTTTTATTGATTGGCATTGCCTAGAATATTTTACAGTGAGGATGGTACAGTACAATCTAATTGCAAACAACTCCCTCCTCCACCAAAACTGGGTAGTGATATCACATGTCTTCAGCAAGCCCAGTGCAAATGCAAATTGGAGCAACAACATTGAGAAGAGGAACTTTGGATAGTCAGAGAGGGACAGTGGGATGAACAGCAGCAACAGCATGAAGAGGAACACAAAGAAGCTCATGAAGTGGAACAATCAGCATGTGAGGAACAAGAATGGTCTAGTCATGAGAAGAAGAAGAGACAGCCAAACAAATATGGTGCTGTGACAGATCTTGATGTTCAGAGTGGTCATGCAACAAAATCCTGCCAAGTAGTTGATGACTCTAGCTCAGATGATGAGGACTCCAATGAACAGGAAAAGGATGAGGCCAGCTCAACTTGAAATTTTTTGCTATTTGTACTTAATGAATTCACTAATTGTACTTGATGGAGTCTGTTGTTTCTGATTCATGTATGAGCTCATAGACTCATTACTGTGCTCACTCTTTTTTGTTATCCCTGTGCATAATTTTATGTAGTATTCACTTCAGTCATGTAATACTAATCATTTGTATCAACATTGTATCAATTTATGAATCTGTATGGATTGTGAGGTGTAAATTGGCTGAATGGTATCATAGTGTGTTGGAGATCACAGCCTTTGACCTGGATAACACCTCTTGATACTCACACATGTATTGAGGTTCCTGGATGATTGCAAAATAACATAGTAGACCCCACAGAGCACTCATGTTGTAGAGAGAATAAATTGTAATCTCAGGATGTCTCCCAGTTGCTCATTTTGGAAAAATCATAAAGGAATTATATATATTGTAACTCATAATGACTTGAGAATATTGTCAATTCAGATACTAAATAAGGTGTTAAAATACTACTCACAAATTATTCCTGTGAGATTTATGAGTCCTCTGCATTGGCCATGTCTGACCATATATTCTAGCTGCTGTTTTTGTGATGAGTATCTCAATATGGACCCCAACAACTGCTGGCAACACTAGTGTGAGCACTACATTCTCTGATATGTCAATTTGAGCCTCCACACTTTTTGATGTATCTCACCATTTATGAATGGTGGCAGTAGTAGCTCTTGTGGTGGTGATCCTAGTATCAGGCTCAGCAGTACAAGCAGCTGCAGAGACATCATCTGCCTTAAGCTTTGGGTTGATCTTGAATTATTTTTTGAGTAGTGACAGTGGAGGAGGAGGAACCATGGGAAAAGCTATGGGAGAGGTGCTGTTGGCCATGGAGAAGGAGATGGTTAATAGTCTTTTATAGAGCAGTGGGAGACTATTGACCCTTGAGCAAAGGTTCAAATATTTGGGGCATGACCAGTCTCTCAATTTGTGGGGATTGAGAAATAATTGGTTGATGGGGACAGGGAAGCACAAAAGAGGTTGAAAGGTGGACTGACAAGTAGCCAGCTGATGCACACCTGCAAACTGTAAGGGACAGTCCTTTTTAGCACTGTCTGATTCTATTCTGAGCTTAGTTGCAATTTGCACATCATTCTAGCCATCTGACTGACCACCTGTCATGCCTTGCACTCTTCTGTCCCCAATAGTTGTCTTTCATGAATCACATGCTCATACATTACTCAGTATAATTTATTGTTCATTCTCCCTTACATACTGAGCCTGATGAGTAGTAAAATATTAGTCATCATTACCAGCAATGTAGTATATAGAGCAGTCTGTAGGATAGAATATCCTCAGACCAAACAATAGCAGTTGTTCACCAGGTCTATCCATTGAACCAACTGTAAATGACTCTAGCGAAGTACTTCACCAGACTTGCTGTTGCCAGCCCCTTGCCCAACTCTCATCCACCACTTGGCTCACTTGACTCTTGCCTGTCACTGACTGTTGCTGGTTCCTGCTGAGTTTTTCTGCAGATTGTCATGTTTCCTTACACAAGCAGCACTCAGGATGTGATGTTTTCAAGACATAGTTACTGTGCAGGGCAGTAGCAAAGTGCAGTCATGGCAGCAGGAAGAAAAGGTGGAGTGAGTGAGGAAAAACAAGGGCAGGCAAGGGGGGGTGATAAGTGAGAGGACAGCAGTACTGATGCACACCTGTGCACAGCACCTACTAATGCACTGCAATGGTTCAGCTACTGTGTGCAGGGCACAAGGTCTGCAGCTCCTTTGAAGGCTAAAAGAAACATGGAGGCAGCCTCAGTCAACAATTATGGTGGCAGCAGTGAGTGAGCATATGACATGGACAAGTGATTTTTGCCGTGACCATGATTTTTACCATGATGTGATTTTGGCTGTGACCGTGACAACATAGGTTTGACTAGCCCAGCCTAGCATTGTGGATTGCGCTCCCACTATGCCCACGCGGCGTCATTCCCAGCATCTACAGATGAGAAGTGCAAGGGAACAACAGGAAGACTCGAAAACGCAGTTCTCTGTGGCGCAGTCCCAATATAGCGATACCCGCGCTGCTTGACGTCTATTATGTAAGTATTATTTCCTTATTGGCTGAACTCTGCACTTTTTTTGATACCCAAGAAAAACGTGACCACGCACGGACCTCTACAAAGCTGAACAAACAACACGCAACTACAAAAAATTTCGTCGTTCGCAATCTTGTTCTTTGTGGTGTTCTTGTCGGTAAGTCTCCTTTTCCTCTTGGACCTTCTTGATGACTTTATTCTCTTCCCCGTCTTATACGACCATGTCGAGAGATAGAGTATATCTGTTCGCAACAGATTTGCGTTCTTTTGAGCGCCTAGTGTACTTGCCAGTGCCATTTCGTCTGATCCTACTTAACTGTGCCTCTTTGAAGCGAAATGCTGACTTACTACTCTCCAGGGTGTCTTAAACTCGGGTTACCTCGTGGTGAGTCTCTTTCTTTGTATGTTTGCGGTCCTTTTGTGTCCACTCCACATTCTTGATGAAACGCTTCCTACATTCGCAGTTTCCACTCTAGCGTCCTCCTTTGGAGTACTCCCCCAATACCGAACATTCATTCTCCCCCTCTTTGGTCGAACCCAAAGATCACAGAGTTGTGGGCCGCCCACGTGGTGCGATGATGCTAGGTGGGGGTCGACGCGATGCGAGTTGAAACGACCTTCCTTTGGATGTCTGACCCTTTGTGGACGCCAAACATCGATTAAACTAGATGCTAATGTTTCACTTTTCAGGATCTTCATTGGGATGGATTCGCTAGTATAGACATAATCAAATGAACATGTTCCTCATAATACTGTTATACAATTTCAATCTACTTGATCCCCATTTACTGCAAGTCTGCCGCTAGCGCGTTGTAGTCGGGACACAAATCCTTCCATTCTTGAGGAGTGATTTGGGCTTGCGGCCCAACGAGGTTCTCTTCTGGTCCCTCAGCGAATG